TTTTTTTTATAAAAAATCAGATGAACAAAAATTACAAACAAGATGAAACTAGAATTAAGAATATTATAAAAAATGCACAACACCAGTTGACAATGGTAAAAAAAAAATAGACTAATTATTTATTACAAACAACATGGAACCACCAACCTTATACTTAAAATAATAATTCACCTCTTAGAACAAATTTAAATAGAACAAATATTATTTAGGAATTTAAATGCCCATTAAGTTATTGTGTGACTGATCAATCAAATTTCGTAAACAATTGTATTGGCCACACCACAACATGTTTAACAAGAAGACTTACACTCCTTTTTTCTGACCGTAGCTCAATTAGGTCTCATTTAAATACACATGGAGACCTACTGGACCTTATTCGTAACATATTTGTTGATAACACAAATATAATAGCATCATCTACATGTAAAAAAGGCTAAAAATAATGAAAGCCTTATTAATAAATCCAAAAAAACAAAACAAGTTGATAATATCAACTATGAACATGGGCACAATATCTTGACCATGTTTTAAAAATGAAAATGTTATACAAATATATACATACAACAATCTATTTCTTGTCAGCAGTTAATATATTTCAACCTAGAAGATAGCTAAAGGTATAGCCGAAAGCGCTCAGAAAAAAGATCAATTGGACAATTTTTATATAATTTATCATCTGAAAAGAAATATATTATCAGATCACACGAGAAATTATATAAAAAACAAAATCAAAGCACCTTGTCAATGAAACGTGCATGAAAGAAGATTTGCTGCCTAAAGACACACACACACACACACATATATATATATATATATATATATATATATATATATATATATATATATATATATTACAAAGAGTTAATCTTTGTGATATAAAATATATGCTGCCTATTTTATGATATATATATATATATATATAGTTTTGAGGTGTGCTATATTTATGAGATAAAGTGCTCAATATCAGAGATGGGGCGTATATAAATATAAATATAATAGTGAACATTGAAGTCACACTCAGAGGCAACAGAAAAACCTGCAAACTTTGCCTGGAGGAAAATATAGCTATTATTACCTTCCCATACCAAAATAAATTATTGAATAAACGATCTGAGCTCATCTCAAAATGCAGACATGAAAACGAATTTTTACTACCTTACGAAAACTGAAATGAATAAATACAAATAAACAAAATAATATAAAAAACAATTAAAATAAATTAACCCAAACAAATAATAAACAAATTAACAAACCACACCCGTTAGAAGATCGAAATAGAATAAATAAAAATAAAATACATAAAAACAAGTAAAAATAATCAAGCCAAATAAATAAATAAAGTAAATAATAATAAACAAATTAACAAACCAATCCCACCAAAATAACCGTCAGAATAGACTACAACAACCAAATCAAAAATTGGATGTAAAAATAAATATAACTGCTATATAACGATAAAAACAAACAAAAAAAAACATTACTACGTTACTCAAAAATCGAGAACCAAATAGAGTAAATAAAAATATACAAAATAAAAAATAAGCAAATAAATAAAAATTAATCCAAATGAATAAATAAATGAACAAATCGCTCCCGCTAAACTGACTGTTAGAACTAATAAAAATAAGCATAAATAAGCAAAAACAAGTAAAAATAATCAATCCAAAGAAATAAATTAAAAACTTTCCACCCGCCAAAATAACAGAAAAGACTACGGCGAGCAATCTAAACATTGGACGAATAAATAGCTTTCATTATCTTCCCAGGCCAAAACAAACTATTAAATAAGCGACCTAAGCAAATCCCCCACCAAAAATCTGTTACTGCGTTAATAAAACATCAAAAATCGAAAAGAATACAAAATGAAAAATAAGTAAAATAAATTAACCGAAACAAATAAATAAATAAATAAACAAACAAGCCACTCCCGTAATATAACCGCCAGAATAGATTACCCATAATGCACCACTGACCCATATATATAAATCCAAGTAGATGCTAATAATATGAAATATTAAAACTGATCCACAAAAGGAGCTCAATGTATTTATTATTACAGAGCATATAATTTAATGTGCTTGTTAATGAAATTTGAGGAATAAAATAACAACAAAATGATAACAATATTGGCAATAAAATTGATGATATTTATTATATATATATATGATATATATTATATATATATGTGTAGCCCTTTTGACTCAATTGAAACACGAAGAGTAAGATTTTAAAGTTGGAATTTTCAGACACTCCTATGTCCTTTTTCAACGAGAAAAAAATCGGGACTCATTCTTCCGGGGAATATTGTTGTAGTTGTTTAGAGGGCCTCCATGTGGAAATTCTATTCTCTGAGTAAATCCAGATGCCTGTTTAATCCTATAATATGTGATTCTATTTTGAGTTGTTGGATTTGTTGTGTCCAAAATACATGAATAAAACGAAAGATGGTCCACGTATGCTTCTTATAACATGCAGATTTAATACATATATATGAGGAGGCACGGTGGAGTAATGGATGGCCGATCGGGCTGAGGACTCGGACAGCAGTGTTCGAATTCCAGTCGAATCCATTACATTCACTTACAAGCTAATGGACTAGTGTTTTGCCCATATTTAGTTAAAGTCGCCCGGGCTTAAACAGGTCTATAGACGTGCTAATACCCTTGGGAAAGGTATGAATCCTTTTCTCCCCCCAGCTATGGGTAAATAGCAGAACAGGCTGTGTTTTATAGCCTTGGATGGCAACTGGTATAGGAGAAGGACAACTCTGAATTCAAAACCTGCAAAGGGTCGTTTAGGGACCTTGCGGCACACAGTAAATAGTTTTCAAGAACTAGAAAATTGTAAAT